CCCCTATCTCCCAGTCAGGTTTGTTTGGGGAAGCTCAGTGGTCGATAAATTCCATACTGCTAAGAGGCACTCTGCCGCAGTTCATGCCTAGGAGGGCCTACACACCTCTTACTCCTGCCTTGGCGCCCAGGGACCACCTTGCACACAGGAAGGAGACGTCTTGGAGGAGTAAAGAGCCGAGATATCCCCCACCTCGCATGGTTTTTGCCTATCTCAGGAGTGAGGAACAGACCGGTAAAGCGTATGCTCTCTGAGCTTAAATCTGCGTTTTGGGATACAGAGTTAGGTAACCAGCAAGATCTTCCTGTATTGAAAGATGGAGACATCTCCCCTCAATACCTCTTCTTGCTCAAGCTGCTTCACTCACACCGGTAGACTCGTCTGGCTTTCTCCCCGTGTAAGATGGTCCAGCCACTATGCCAGACCCCAAAACGGGGGAAAACCTCTTCACTGGCCCATGGGCCAGTCTTGGTTGCCAGAGAACACCTCAGGCCTTCCTCCGGTAACTTTGGCTTCGTGCCCACCATTTTTCGTGGGCAGCCATATAGAAAGTTTGGCGGCCCGCTAGGGCCCATTCTTATGCAACCTGTCTCACCACCTGGCAACATGGAGGCTTCTACCAGGTGTGTTGCGCTGGGTCCTCCACACAATCCAATTCGAATACACTCTCTAGTTCCATTGCAACCCTCCTTATTTCGATGGGGTTCATCCCACTGTAACAAACAGCACCCTAGAGCAGGGGTTCTTAAACTGTGGGTCGTGACCCACTTGTGGGTCGCAGAGTGGGACAAGGTGGGTCGCACGAAATCACTTGGCTGCAGCTAAATTTGCGTTTCAATGACACACACACACACTCACACAGTTCAGTCTAGGGCTGCACGATATAGCCTATCAACATTAATTACGAATTGCAATATTCTTAGTGCAATTTTTGAATAGCAATTAAGTCCACGATTTATAACATGCATTGCGTGTTTTGAAGCACGGGCGCGCACGAGTTGTAATAACAGTGAGGGTCTCAGAGCGACGTCATTATTAAAAGGCTCGATCGGTCCGCATTATTAATGAGAAGAAACGCGCTCACTTCACTGCACTGTATTCTGCATGAGATTGCATACACCTCAAAATTCAAATGTTACGAAAACTGTTTCAGGTATGTTCATTCATTTCTATCGTCCGTTTGAACTTGGCGCCGTTTTTGTTCCTTCATATGCATTTGGCTACCTACCAGTAAGTAAACGGTCTGTAAAAAGCATTTCACATGTACGGGGTGAGCGGGGCACAAATTTGAACACTACAAGATTTAAACATTTCCACATAACAAAATTTACCAAATTTTGTATTATTTCCTTGCCATATCATCTCTATATAGTGAGAAAAATGTGCCAAAGTTCACAAATCTTTTGAAAATATTGCTGAACATTTATTTAACCGTTGCAAAAGTAAGTACATTTGTCATCTCGGTTATTAGTGTTTATTTAAAATGAGACATCTGTTTTTTTTTACCTATTTGTTAACATGTTTTCACGGTTGCTTGGACTGAACACATGGCTACAAAGAACCTGCAGTTTAAAAGGAGTCAATTTCATCGACAACTTCAATCTTTTCTGGGGCCATAGACAACGGTTTAAACTGGATGGCCTCCACCCAAACAAACTTGATGCAAGAGTGCTAAAGGACAATATCTACTTCTCCCTCCATCATCCTTCAGTAGTGTGTGCCAAACTACTCAACCTGAATGGCACACACACACCTGGACAGAGTATGAGTGACCACAGGACTTCATATCAGCTTCCGAGTCATCATGTGGTTGACACATCCCACAAGGACACCGATAGTAGCACCACGCAGCCAAAACAACCACTGCTCATGGACAACATCCCGGCTGAGCCCTGCCCACAGAGCTCATCACAGACAGACTGTGACGTATCAGAACAGCTCCAAGACTCAGCACCCAAGGACGACTTTCTGGAAAACAGCCAGGGAAGCCAGGACAACATATCACAGCCACCGGAAACAAACCATTGTGTATGAAATGTGCTATTTAAATAAACTTGCCTATTTCACAATTATTTTAATCTCCAACCTGTTTTAGATCTGCTTTGCTTCTGATGCTTTGCTAAAAAACGTGTTGGGTTGCTGCGCTCTACACACACGGAAGGATTGTGAATGCATTTTCTGCACTGAACCCCGCTAAGAGTTTAACAACACTTGCAGTGCTGATCACGGAGTGAGCGTGTTTCGAGTTTTTATGGACGTAGGGCTGGCGCGTGCATATTGGTGAACTATGCAGCTGTCTAGGGCGGCAGCACAGTTAGGGCGGCAAAAAGGACAGAGATTTTATTTTATAGTAATGCTCCCCACCCCTGACCACTGTATTTATAAGCTCAACAGAATCATGTGTGACTGGTTATAATGCGCAACGCTGTATAAACGCATAAAAATAAATATGTAACATGAGCTTATCCAAATTTAATACTCCAATCGACACTTGTCATTTAATTTTCATTTTATTCATGACAACCATAACAGATTTAGTTTAATTGTAAAGGGGCACTATTGTCCAATTTGGTGGCATTTTATCCCAAACCCCCGTTATTTCCGACCCTTGGCAAGGGGAAGGCTAACCCTTATTGCGTGCATAATATTTACGCCATATATTAATATTTAAGATGTTTATAACCGCTATGAATAGCTGTGCACACCAGCAACGGGATTTCAGCTGTACGAGCACAGCCGGAAGTCTGGAACAGATTTCTTTGTCTCTTATTGAAAATTAACTACAGAGACTTGTGCTTTTCGCGTCCTGAACAGCATTTATGTCAAGCTGCTCACCGGGAATTCTCCCAAATCCTCCGATGGCCACTTCGGGCCTGTACATACACTTCATTTGCATTTGCAGCTGTACTACTGGTGGTTGTTTTTTTTTGTACGTTGCAGTAGCCTATGAAAAAAAATCAGAAAACATGCTGGTGTCTGCTTTTATTTTAGTGCAATTGTATCAATAAACAACATCTCAAGTCTTTCACATGCATCGTAAAGATTGTGTTTAATTGTGAGTGTGAAATAGGGGCGGCACGACAGTGTTTTGCCTAGAGCGGCAGTTGAGCTTGCGCCGGCCCTGTGGACATGTTTCCTTTCGCACCGCGGGAACCTTTTCATAGTACCAGAACTAATTGTGGAACCACCCACTTTTTGGCGTTTTCGCACCGCCGGAACTGGGTGCGATTTTAGTACCGGACTGCCTTTTTCGAGAACCAAATTAGCTCCTACTCCGGAGCAGGTTCTAACCAGCACAACTGGTACTAATCGTGACATAAGTAGACATTGATTGGCCAAACGCGTACGAAAAC